TACAATATACCATCATGAAAAATTCTCGTATTTTTTCCATCGAGCAGGTAACCCATTACAATGTGACCATTTGGGCTGGTAACCCATTACAATGTATCATCCTAAAAAATTCTCGTATTTTTCCACTGGGCAGATAACCCATTACAATATACCATCATGAAAAATCCTCGTATTTTTTTCACTGGGCAGGTAACCCATTACAATGTGATCATCTAGGCTAGTAACCCATTACAATGTGATCATCTGAACTGGTAACCCATTATAATGCACCATCCTGAAAAATTCTCATATTTTTTCACTGGGCAGGTAACCCATGACAATGTACCATCCTGAAAAATCCTCGTATTTTTCCACTGGGCAGGTAACCCATTACAATGTATCATCTTGAAAAATCCTCGTATTTTTCTACTGGGTAAGTAACCCATTACAATGTGACCACTGGATAGGTAACCTATTATAATGTGACCATCTAAGTAGGTAACCCATTACAATGTACCATCTTGAAAAATTCTTGTATTTTTCCACTGGACAGGTAACCCATTACAATGTGACCATCTGGGCAAGTAACCCATTATAATGTACCATTCTGAAAAATCCTCGTATTTTTCTATTAGGCAAATAGCCCATTACAATGTGACCATTTAGGCAAGTAACCCATTACAATGTACCATCCTGAAAAATCTTTGTATTTTTTCACTGGGCAGGTAACCCATTACAATGTGACCATTTGGGCCTATGACTCATTACAATGTACCATCCTGAAAAATCCTTGTATTTTCCCACTAGGTAGGTAACCCATTACAATGTGACCATTTGGGTGGTAACCCATTACAATGTACCATACTGAAAAATCCTCGTATTTTTTTACTGGGCAGGTAACTCATTACAATGTGATCATCTAGGCTGGTAACCCATTACAAAGTATCATCCTAAAAAATCCTCGTACTTTTTCACTAGGCAGGTAACCCATTATAATGTGACTATCTGGGCAGGTAACCTATTACAATGTGACTAACCTAAAAAATCATCATATTTTTCAATCATCGGGTAGGTCACCTAGAATAATTAGACCACTCGCAAAACCCTTTTCGCGGTTATACTCTTCATTGGGCCGGTCGACTAGAATAATTAGATCACTTGTAAAATTCTTCGCGTTTCTTTTATCATCGGGTAGGTTGCCCAAAACAATTTGATCTATTTAAAAAAAAAACAAAAAAAAAACAAAAAAAAAGTGGGTCGTCTTCCAAATGACCTGTTCTCTCTGTAAAAGTTATATGTTAATCTATTGTTTTCAAAGTTTTCAAGAATCCTTTCCGTATCTACTTTTCTTTTTAAAATTTACTACAAAAAGCTAAAGAAAATAAAATTTTTTAATATTTTTGTATTGTAAATATTAAAAAAAAGAGGCAACTATCATAACCTAATTTTTGAACAAATAATAAAAATTAAATATAGTTAAAAATGGGATTAAAATAACATAAAATTTGAAGTTTAAAGATGTAATTATAAAATTTAAGAGTTAATGAATCAATTTTGAAAGAATTAAAAGTTAAAGATTTAATTAAGGGTCAAATTGAACAATCTGGAAATTAAGACTGATTTGTAAACGGTATTATAATCTAGGAATTTAATTGAAAGTAATCCAAAAGGAAAAAAATTAAAAGAATTAATTAAGGATCAAATTGAATAATCCAGGAATTAAGGACTGTTTTGTAAACAGTGTACCAATTTAGCGATTTAATTGAAATTAATCCAAAAGGGAAAAATTAAAAGAAATTTTTAATTGCTTAGGGGTCCATTTGTTGAATTTCCAAAGTTCAGGGGTCAAAATGAAAGAATCCATTGCTGCTGAAACGTCGCCGTTGCAGGTGGAACAACCGTGTTTGTCTTCTCCATCCTGATTCAACAGGCTGAAGATCTGCAACAAAGTCGATCCAATCATGGACCGCGTCTCTCACCCACAATCTCGTCGGGGAAGATAACAGTCCTGGTTAAAGGAAGTGGTTGGGGAGTCTATAAAAGGAGGAAGAAAACCTAGAACAAGGAGGAAAAAAGAGAGCCGAAAAATCAACCCAGAAAAACAGAGTTAAGAACAAAAAAAAACAGCAGAGAAAACAGAGCACAAATCCAAATACATAGAGAAAGAGAGAACAAGAGGGTAGCACATAGTGAGGAGAATTATCCTTGAAATTGTCTTTGGACCTGCAAACAAAGAAAAAACCCGGATTCAACCAAAGAACACTCACAGCAAGCCGATATCTTCTTTGTAGTTTTAGAAGCTACTGAGAAATCAAGAAGGAAAGCACAGACAAGTGGTTACAGAAGGAAGACCAGAGGAAGCAGTAGGTGAGAATCATCATCAACGCTGCAAGCATCTTCGGTCTCCAGAAGCAACTTCGTCCCCTTTGCATCTTCATTTCAAAAAGTAATTCAGTGTCACAAGAACATTGTGTGAAGGTGATTTAATTACCTTCACCAGCATTCGTGCGTGCGTGAACAAGCCACGCATGCCTTTAGTCTTTTTGCCCAGCCGGGTTTAGCCAGCCCAAAAATATAAATAAATATATAATAAAAGTTATGGAAATATAAAAAATTTATATTTTATTCATTAATGTTAGAGTAGAATAAAAATATCAATTCAATTTTATTTAATTATATTTTATTTAGTTATATAAAAATAAAAAAATGTGTGTACAGAAAAAAATATAAGATAAAATAAAATAAATTTATTTGGTATATTCACTGTTACCAGAGTCAGGAATAAAAAATATAAATATAAATTTATTTTATTTTATTATTTATCTACATAAAAATAAAAATAATGCGTATGCGTAAAAAATAAATTGATTTTATTTGATTATTCACTGACGCTAGAGTCAGGAATAAAAAAAATGATGATTTAAATTTATTTATTTTGATACCTATGTAATATTTACCAACGCTAGAGTTGAAAATATCCGTAATTGAATATTCATTGGAGCCAGAGTCAGGAATATTATACACAAATAATCATAATATAAACTAATAAAAAATGTTAATAGTTAATGACAAAGATCAACAATGCAGCCTGTCTTAGACAGGATGTTTAAGGGGTGATAACATCTTTTCTTTTACTTAACCAATTTCAAATCATAGAATTTATATTAATCAGTTAAGATTTCTAGTAATCATAATACTAAGTGGCGACTTCTTAAATAAAAAATATTCTCATT